ACACACGACACAGTATGTAAGGGAGAGACTGGCGCCGTACACACGACACAATATGTTGGGGAGAGACAGGCACCGTACACACGACACAGTATGTAAGGGAGAGACTGGCACCGTACACACGACACAGTATGTAAGGGAGAGACTGGCACCGTACACACGCCACAGGATGTAAGGGAGGGACTGGCACCGTACACACGACACAGTATGTAAGGGAGGGACAGGCACCGTACACACGACACAGCATGTAAGGGAGAGACTGGCGCCGTACACACGACACAGCATGTAAGGGAGGGACAGGAACCGTACACACGACACAGTATGTAAGGGAGAGACTGGCACCGTACACACGAGACAGCATGTAAGGAAGAGACTGGCGCCGTACACACGACACAGTATGTTGGGGAGAGACAGGCACTGTACACACGACACAGTATGTTGGGGAGAGACACGTCGCAAAAGATTCTGTAAACGAAATACTGACCAAGGTTAGGTTCCGGGTCACACACTTGGGTGCAGGTGCACTGTCCGCTGATGCAGATGGGGTCGTCGCCGGTGGAACAACTGGTTATACCGCCGATACAGTCTGAATTGTTATTGCAGGACTCTCCCTTCACCAGCAACACTGTCCGTGAAGAGGAGCGACATGAGACACCAGTAAATGTGTGTGTGTATGTGCGTGTGTATGTGCGTGTGTGCGTGCGAGCGTACACTGAACAACACATAGGCCTGAAGTGACACCCGCAGTCGGACTGCTGTTTCGCGTGACTCCAGGACAAGAGACTTTGTGTATCTCTCTGATAAGTGTAATTGGTACAGCTCCAGGAATCTACCCCGCTTATATGCTGGATAAGCGAGTCCGATAGTTCTCAGAGAGTTTTGGTTAAATTTACTAAATCTAAAATAATTCTGGTATTTTAGTATTTTAGTCTGTGTTTAGGTCTTCGGGGAAAACCAAACGTTCAGAAATAAATTCAATAAATAGTATGACAGCATCAAATATAGTGCGTTGCTTGGTGACTGTGTTACATATTTGTTTAGGAACGTTGCTGTCTTCGTTTGAGTCATATTAGTTAGATCTTCTTCATATGTGTGAATGTCGGGGACCAGAGAAATGTCATAGCAGGTATGTTTGTATGTTTGTATGTTTGTATGATGGAGAAGGACGAATACAGTGGGTAACTATGTTAAGAAAATATCTTTTTCAAGTTAAAAAAATCGTCGATGCATGGATTTGTGTCAACAACATTATTTGTATGTGGAAATTTATGTTGGGTTTTATGTCAAGCATACTGAAAATACTGCCTTTCCGATTTGGTCGAGAAAAAGAGCGTGTATAGCGATTAGAATATCCTGAAGGAATTTAGAAAATGTAACGCATGTATCTCTGATTGTATTTCAAATGAACTTCATCAGATACAACTGTTACACACCCCGACAATCAGAGGTGGAAGGGCTCGGACTTGCTGCTATCTTCTCCAAGTAAGGATATAACTAGTGTCGGCAGAGTTTGGTTTTATGTAAGTAAAGAAAGGTATCCTCAGGGCGTTAACGGTACAATGTAAATGTGATTCCCCTGTGTCCACATAGTTAAACAAGATCAGAGTAAGACACGGCCTATAGTACAAGACATACCCGTGGAAAGCGCCACGACGAGCACGAGGAGACAGTTCATGGTGGTAGACTGGTGTTCTGCAAGGCTGCCAACTCTGATATGAACTACAGGTCAGGTCACACGTCCAGAAGGTGGAGGTGTGTCACGGGGTTTCAAGACTACACCTGGCGGCTGTAAGAGGTGGGCCCCGACGTACAGGACAATCCTGTTTTTGATACGTGCTGAGTCAAAAATGAAATCAAATACATGTCGTTAACCAGGAATCAGTCCGTCAGATAACTATGTGTGGAACAGACAACGAAGTCATGTGCTGTAATTAACAATTGTATACTACCCATCAAAAGTTTAGACTCACTCAAAACACTCACCATAAGTTACGTACATACATACAGTACAACCAGAAAGTATTGAGAATTTAAGATTGTAATGTTTTATATTTGTTCACTCATTACTCACGTATTAAATGTGAATATTAGCAGAACATAACTCCAGATTCAAAGACAGGTGAACAGTTAGTATTTTGTCAAGTCACCATGGGCAGTAATGCAGGCTTCAATGCGGCGGGGCACACTACTGATCAAAGAAGTTAGAAAGTCGTGGTCCATGCTGTCCCAATATCGGACCACCTCTTCTTTCATTTCAGCAATATTTGTCAGATTTTTCTTATTGACACTTTCCTTCATAAGTCCCCAAACATTTTCTATTGGATTTAGGTCAGGGCTATAGCTTGGCCAATCTAATAATGTCATATTTTGGGTCCGAAACCAGGCATGTGAGTGCTTTGAACGATGGTTTGGGTCGTTGTCCTGCTGGAAAATCCAAAAATGTCCATAGAACACGTGAGCAGATGGAAGTAAATGTCCCTCGAGAATATCTGTGTACCGCTCACTGTTCATATTCCCTTCAAATACACCGAGGGGCGTTGTCCCTAACACAGATATGCCACCCCACACGTTAAATTTCGGACTGTAATTTGGGCGCTGATACAAAGGTTTTTCAGTTTGTTTGGTCTACAATTTCAGTGTATTAGGAAACAGCCACACAGAACTTTCATCTGAGAAAATCACATTGTCTCAGTTAAGATTTCTATGCTGTAAGCACCAGTTCAACCTTCGCTCCTTTTGTTCAGGTTTCATGATCGGTGATGGAATTCCTCGACTTTTCTGCCAACCAATTGCATGCAGCTCAGTTCTAATTGTGTCCTTACAGACAGCCACAGTTCCTCTATCAATCATGTCCAGCCTGAAGTTTTCTAAACTCCTTCGTTTGTTCTTAGAAACAAGAATACCAAGCCGCCTCCTGTCACCGAAAGTCAATTTTTTCTGGGCCTCACTCTGCTGGTCTCCTGGTGACTAGGCAGGATATGATCACCACACACTCTGCTGGTCTCCTGGTGACTAGGCAGGATATGATCACCACACACTATGGTGGTTTCCTGGTGACTAGGCAGGACATGATCATCACACACTCTGCTGGTCTCCTGGTGACTAGACAGGACATCATCACCACACACTATGGTGGTCTCCTGGTGACTAGGCAGGATATGATCACCGCACACTATGGTGGTCTCCTGGTGACTAGGCAAGATATGATCACCACACACTCTGCTGGTTTCCTGGTGACTAGGCAAGATATGATCACCACACACTCTGCTGGTCTCCTGGTGACTAGGCAAGATATGATCACCACACACCCTTCTGGTCTCCTGGTGACTAGACAGGACATCATCACCACACACTATGGTGGTCTCCTGGTGACTAGGCAGGATATGATCACCGCACACTCTGGTGGTCTCCTGGTGACTAGGCAAGATATGATCACCACACACTCTGCTGGTTTCCTGGTGACTAGGCAAGATATGATCACCACACACTCTGCTGGTCTCCTGGTGACTAGTCAAGATATGATCACCACACTCTATGGTGGTTTCTGGTGACTAGGCTCTCCTGGTGACTAGGCAGGATATGATCACCACACACTCTGCTGGTTTCCTGGTGACTAGGCAAGATATGATCACCACACACCCTTCTGGTCTCCTGGTGACTAGACAGGATATGATCACCACACACTATGGTGGTTTCCTGGTGACTAGGCAGGATATGATCACCACAGACTCTGCTGGTTTCCTGGTAACTAGGCAGGATATGATCACCACACACTCTGCTGGTCTCCTGGTGACTTGAGATGTAATGTGGGTGATAGGAAATAGCTTTTTCCGTTTATGCACACAAAAATAAGTTACTGGAAATCTATAGAGTTCTCTGCACCACAGGAGGGTTTTAAAACTGGAGCTTGTGACGCTAAAAAGGGGTGGGGTAACGAGGAAAGAGGTGTAACGAGGTCATCACACCAAGTTCGTTTCAGGGCGCATTCAACAATGCTCACTGTATTTATGCCTTAAGAGTATGCACATATTTCAAGCCGATAGATCTACCTACAAAATGCGACATACAGCATTAAAATCGAAGCAGTTCTTTGGGAGCTAGGGTCTTCAGAAGCTCGAAAAATCGTGATTTCTAAATTCTGAGCCAAAATCCCTGCTCAGAATTTGTAGCGCTAACTCACCCATTTTCTTGTTTATTTCACAGTATACACAAACGACATGCACCAAAACATGTTGAACTGATGGCACTTGTCAGCGCGCTAGTCGCCATTCTTTCGGAGCACTTACATCTTACCGTCATAATGAGTTTACGTACATTTATTCATAGCAAAAAAACCTATGTCGTGCCCGTTCCCCATTGACGACCTTGGCCTTAACCTGCCCCGCACTAAAAGGAGCCATGGAGCTCATTGGCTATACATGCAATATGCCCCATCAGATCGCTGACGTTTTCATTCTTCATTCCGATATTGACCCGTGAAGATCCAGGTTAGAACTGGTCTTAAGCAACCCATGCTTGTAGTAAGAGGCGACTAACAGGATCCAGTGGTCAGGCTCCCTCACTTGGTTGAAACACGTCATCAAATTCCAATCGACCGATGCTCATATTGTTGATCCCTTATTTACAGACCGCCGCCGTGTAGCTGGAATATTGCTGAGTGCGGCGTAAAACAAACAATCAAACAACCATTCCAATTTTGAAACTGATTGACTGTTGAATCAATATTTTCTGCTTTCAAATTGAAGAAAATATACAAAACAATAAGCTATTACATATACTCCGTTGTATAATTGACTTCAGAGCGAGTTGCGAGGAACTCAGGTAGTTCAAGACTTTGAACGCTGTAAACAAGACACGAGGAACTCAGGTACTTCAACACTTTGAACGCTGTAAACAAGACACGAGGAACTCAGGTAGTTCAACACTTTGAACGCTGTAAACAAGACACGAGGAACTCAGGTAGTTCAACACTTTGAACGCTGTAAACAAGACACAAAAACAAGTGTTTGCTGATGTTTTATTCATCCCTTCGAGTAAGGTCAAGTCTTGAGGTATGACGTGAATCTGAATGTCCTGCATTTGTGTGATCCGTACTGGCGTTGTCAGTGTGTGTTGTGCATGAGATGTACGTGTGCTGTTAGTGTGTGATGTGAACGTGTGATCTGCATGTATCCTGCACGTGTGTAGTATTTATGATCGGGGAAAGCCACAGTGGCACCGACCGTCGATACAGTGGAGGGTGGCTAAGGGCGTACACACACACTGCATGAAGTGGTTCTCGTAGCGGTGGATGCAGTCAGCTTGTTTGTTACACCGCCCTGTCAACACAGAACACGACAAGGTCACACGTCGTAGACTCATTGCCACATCCGTGAAATAGAAACTGTCGAAACAGTCCAACAGTCTCAAGACAGTAATGAAACTGAAAAGCCCTTGAATAAGCACAGTATGAACTTAGTTCGACAAAACTAAACTCTTAAAAAAGGAAAAAAAGAGAAACGAAAAAGCCAAAAATACAGAAAAGTGTTAAACGTATTTAAGTGTCCTAAGCCGATTAAGACCTACATCAACGATTCCACACACGGAAGAACATGTGTATTGTTCGTCAATTTCGGGCTGGGGTCACAGAGGCAGGTACATGGGCTGTCCAGGCAGGAAATAGGATTGAAATATGCTGGGGAGGGGTCACAACTCGCCATGTTCGGGATGGGGGTCAGAGAGGCAGGTACATGGGCTGTCCAGGCAGGTGATAAGATTCAAATATGTTGGGGAGGGGTCACAACTCGCCATGTTCGGGCTGGTGTCACAGAGGCAGGTACATGGGCTGTCCAGGCAGGTGATAGGATTGAAATATGTTGGGGAGGGGTCACTACTCGCCATGTTCGGGCTGGTGTCACAGAGGCAGGTACATGGGCTGTCCAGGCAGGTGATAGGATTGAAATATGTTGGGGAGGGGTCACTACTCGCCATGTTCGGGCTGGTGTCACAGAGGCAGGTACATGGGCTGTCCAGGCAGGTGATAGGATTAAAATATGTTGGGGAGGGGTCACTACTCGCCATGTTCGGGATGGTGTCACAGAGGCAGGTACATGGGCTGTCCAGGCAGGTGATAGGATTGAAATATGTTGGGGAAGGGTCACTACTCGCCATGTTCGGGATGGTGTCACAGAGGACCGAGGCAGGTCCAGGCAGGAGACAGGATTGAACTGTGTTGGGAAGGGGTCACAACTCGCCATGTTCGGGATGGTGTCACAGAGACCGAGGCAGGTACAGGAGACAGGATTGAACTGTGTTGGGAAGGGGTCACAACTCGCCATGTTCGGGTGGGAACCACCATCTCCACAGATCCCGGAGGTGTGGTAGGAGGGTTGATTGTTAAATGGGTAGGTAGATGGGTAGGTAGTGTTAAACAGTGTGTTTCTGTCAGACACCTGAAGACGTACTGCATCTTGACTAACCTAAGTCTTGAACTTAACACTCATCGCGAGGACATTTAATAGCATCGTGTACGGACCAGCACTCCTTATTAGTATATTGACACTTACTAACATAATTAGACCCGTGAAGGTCCAAGGTTTTGATATTGTTCACTTGTTTGAGTGGCATTTAGAAGTTGGTGTGATGAACAACGAGGAGAGTTCTATGGATATACAACTTCTTTAATATAATATGAGCGACGTTTCCAGGTGTAGCTACTAACAGCGGTATCAAGCAAATGATGTACAATACTAGAGGCAAAGGTATATATACATAGTAAAGTTGAACAGGAAGTGATTGGTGTTTTTGCACAATTAATGAGGTTGATGTACAAGGTTGGAGTAAGCTATGGGGGATTATTGGGCGGAAGCCAGTGATATGACAGACAGGAGAATAATGGGATTAAGATTGCTTGGTGATGATTTGGTTGTATGCAGTTGGGAATGTAATATCCTTGGTCTCTGTTCATGGCCGGTTGGAGTCTCTTGATGTGAATGGCCTCTAGTAGCTTTCTGATCTTGTAGTGGGTGTGGTTACTGGTGAGTACATTGATGCTGTTCCATAGGATGTTGTGGTCTGGGTGAGCTTGGGTGTGGTCAGAGATGGCGGGGTTGGAGTCTTCTTCACAGAGGCTTGATGTTCTTTGATTCTTACAGGGGAGATAGGGGTCTTGAGGGTTTAACAGATGTACGAGTCTCCACAGTCACACTTTATGTGGTAAACTGTGCCTGGAACGGTCTTCTTTAGTTGTGGGGGTTGGTCTGCCATTGGCTTTTAGGATGTTCTGTATAGTAGTACCTCTCTGGAACCACAACATCAATTTTGACTTGGTGTTTTAAGAGTCGGCTGATGATCTGGTGGCTGGCTGAACCTATATAGAGCAGGCTTCATGATGAAAGCGGAGCTGTTTGTTGGCGTGTGGGGCTTGTTTATCGGGTTGAGGGTGGCGTTGATGGTGCGGTCTACAAGGCTGGCAGGGTAGTTGTTGTAGGTCTTAAAAGACATGGCGAAGATGTTGAAGTTCAGCTTCCAGTTGTTGTGATGTGGAGCTGATGTTTCTGGCACGTCAGGTTAGTGTAGCTATTATTCCTCTCTTGACTTGTGGGGGTGGTTAGATGAGTGGTGAAGATACTGATCAGGTATGGGAGTGGGCTTACGGTACACACTGGTCTGGAGCTTGTTGTTTTTTTTCTTTCTCTATTCTGACATCGAGGAAAGCTAGCTGGTTGTCTAGCCATCATTAGAAGTAGATTAGAGGAAATCCATACGACCTTAGATACCCACCTCACTCCTGACAGCAGCATCCGATTCATCAACTCCTGCATCAGCTCAACGTATTTCACCTGGCAAGACAAGATTCGGCAACAATCCATGGACTCCCCATGGGATCCAAACCTCTCACCCATCATCACAGAGATATATATGACAGACCTAGAAGAGAGCCCTACAGACATCGCCAATCTCCCTATCTGCTGGTATAGAGAAGTTGATGACACCTTTATCATCCCTCAACACCCTCGCATGAAGTTTACCATGGAGGAAGAAACAGAGAATTGTGCAAACATCAATCACTTACTGTTCAACTTTACTATGTATATATACCTTGCCTCTAGTATTGTACATCATTTGCTTGATACCGCTGTTAGTAGCTACACCGAAACGTCGCTCATATTATATTAAAGAAGTTGTATATCCATAGAACTCTCCTCGTTGTACAATATTGATCTTCAGTAACCCATGCTTGTCGTAAGAGGCGACTAACGGGATCGGGTGGTCAAAGTTCACTGACTTGGTTGACACATGTCATCGGTTCCCAGCTGCGCAGATCGATGCTCATGCTGTTGATCACTGGATTGTCTGGTCAGACTCGATTATTTACAGACCGCCGCCATATAGCTGGTGTATTGCTGAGTGCGGCGTAAAACTAAACTCACTCACCCACTCACTACTAACATAATTAACAAAGTACATAGTTGACGACGTTATATTTCTATTGAAGCACATAGCTATCTAAAACATCCTTCTAAAGACAGTTATACATGTCATTACATAGGTTCCCTGACAGGAGGAGCGCTATCTATGTAGGGTTACAGTGACATGATATCTGATGTCAGCTGCTGTTTCAGTGAAGTACAGAGGAAGTTGTTGTCTATAAATTGTGTCTCCCTTGCCATCCCTCAACTTCTGGGAAAACAATTTTAAAGAACTACATGATGATACCTAAATGACACATGAACACAAACAGGCCACAGTAGATTCCCGAAAACATGGCATCAAATCTATATACATTAAATACTCTCAATCCTGATGAATCAATGCTGATTACCGATCTTACATTTGAACTGAAATCAGTTGAATATAGTTGTGTATTCTAGCTACAAACCACAGACGGCGAGGGACAGCAGAATCGGCGTACACGTCACCATTCCGCAGCGTGGAAGGAATATCACTGTGAACTAGATAGATAAATACTAGAAGTACACATCGTCACAGGCACTGGCATTTGTTTATCATCTAAGTCACCTGACCTGTTTTATTGACAGGTTGACGGAACTAACGGTGTCATAGGGTCAGGTGTTTGTGTTTTAAATGCCTGTCATGAACACGACATTTTGCTATGTACGGTAAAATGTTTAATTTCGAGGTTGTTCAAATAGCAAAGCATACGTGAACCAACTATGAATAGAATGTACCCATTAAGACAACGTTAAAGTTCTATCGGTTTTATCACCAAGGAAGCGATATTCCACACTTAATTCCGACGCTATGAACTGCACGATTTAGCAGCAAACATATTGGAATGGTCATGTACCGGAAATCCGTATTCTTTGTCCAAAACCAATATGCAGCCACCAGAGTGATATTTTCATCAGCATGCTGCCTTGTGATGATCGTGTCTATCGGTGCTGCCTTGTGATGATCGTGTCTATCGGTGCTGCCTTGTGATGATCGTGTCTATCGGTGCTGCCTTGTGATGATGATCGGTCGTGTCTATCATTGCTGCCATGTGATGATCGTGTCTATCTGCTGCCTTGATGATGATCGTGTCTATCGGTGCTGCCTTGTGATGATCATGTCTATCGGTGCTGCCTTGTGATGATCGTGTCTATCGGTGCTGCCTTGTGATGATCGTGTCTATCGGTGCTGCCTTGTGATGATCGTGTCTATGCCGGTGCTGCCTTGTGATGATCGTGTCTATCGAAGGTGCAGTTCTAGTTAGGGTTCCTTCACTATACAACCATGCACACGCTAATGGCTACACCTAGCCTGTACCGTTAACGAAAACGTACTCAACACTACTGCTGAAAACTATACACATTCCTCATAGTTATATAATATTCTACGTATGTAGACGTGAATTACATCAATTGTGTTGTGTGTTTATAATTGTGATTATGAACCAGTTCGGAGTGTTACTGGACACTGCTACCCACTGTGGAACAATGTTATAAGTGAACTGCATTGTTTCTGTGTTCCAAGTTTCAGAAGCGGACAGTGGTGACTGTATTTGGAGTAAGACTGGCCTGTATGAGTCAACGAGAATATTCAGTGTAGTCTGACCGAGCGAGTTCTAGAGCAGAACACTCCTCGATTCTACATGGCTATAGAACACGTTTTGGTGTGGTTATTTAAGTGGACACACGAAATATTCATCCAGAAATGAGGAGCCTGATACAGGAATGTATGATGCTTATATTACCCACAGAAATCACCATGGAAGTGTTTGTAATGTTGATATCATCGTGTCTAACACAAATGCATGGTTCTGAGCCTTCACAATAGCCCGTGACATCCGAGGATAAGCTAACCGTAATAAATTGCGGGAACAAGATGTTAAATC